AAGTTTGCCACCAGGTAAACCCTTAAAGTATGTTTAACTTCAGCTCCAATAAAACTACAGGTTTAAAAAGCTCTTAATATAACTAGCCCGGAGTTAAGACAGCACATAAAGTGCTTATATAAATCAAATATGAAATACAGGAAGGCGAAATTTGGTAAGTAAATTGAGGATCATTAAAAGGAGAGTCAGTATAGGAACTTACAATTAGGAAGGTTATCAGAAGTATCGTGCACAAGAAGTCCTACTAGAAAGAAAGTAAAGATATCTAAGAGTCTTTAACAAAAATTCCAAGACATCTACATGACATCTTTCTCTCTTTAACTTTTTGGAATATATATATTCCCAATTATCTTTTCCAATAATCCTGATAGCACCAAATTTTACAATCCAGGACCACAAAAAAATGTAGGAGAAGCTCGGTTATTATTATTTAACAGCTGCTAGACTCATTCACTGATATCCAGTCTACATTATCACCTCTTAATGAACCAGTTAAATACATATCTAATATTTCTAACTGCGAAACATTTTCTAACAAAGTTAGTTGTAGCAAACCTTTTTTTTCCTCTAATCTACATTATGGTTATCAATTAAAATTAAATGATAGGCAATTGGAAGTAAATAAGTTAGTTAAAAATAGCACATTTTAAATAATAACCCAGAACATTTATGAAATGCCAAAGACATTCTAGAGATCTCATATGATTTATTTGATGGTCACTCACTCGTATTCTTATTTTATTGATAAAATAACTAATTGATGACAAAGCATAAGTATATTTGTTTCGTTGAATAGAATGCCATTACCTTATTTCTAATCCTGACAGGTGCACCTGAGATTGAATTGCACAATATAATCTTAAAATGTTGTTCTTCTTACAATTAATGATACATTCTCACTTTCACACAGGACAGTTGTAATTGTGCTCCAATACAATTAGAAGTTATCTATATACATAGGCTATAATGGCAAAGTAGCTAGATAGAAGTCCTCGCCGCTCCTGTAAATATCGCATGTCAGCAGTAAGTCGAATCGCAGACTTTATCACTTTGGGGTTTGTATACTTGTAAGTTTATCAGATAAGAGACAAACCTGGGTCTGGAAACTGTCCCCCCTCGATCTTTCAAGCCATAACAAAATAGAGTGTTGCTCCTATTATGGTGTTATGTCATTTTAGCAGCTGGACAATCACAGCTGGTGGTATGTAAAGGGATGTCACAGCTAATCTATAATATGCACAGCATATTTAATGTTTCCTGTTCACTTTACTTTGGTAAGGTGAGTGTTTCAAATTCACCTAGAATTTTAGAAGTTTTCATAAGCACATGTATCTAACCATTAATGTAGTTTTATTAACATAATGTGTCTTAATTCATTTTGTTTTAGCTACTTATTGTTCTGGATTAGGGCCCTTTCATGTTATATGTAGTTTTTGTGAGAAATATTACTATATGGCAGAACATATTATGCAAAGATGGGAAGCAAGCTTTTCCGTTGGCAGGTTAGGTGATACTTTGATCATTCTGGAATAAAGTCTAGAACCAGATCTCCAGTATAAGTGTTGTTGGTTGTTGCATAGTTAAATACATTATTTTACTGTGATTGAATTTTGTTGTAAGTAAAATTCGCTTTTTCTTTGCTTGCATTGTGTTCAGTCTATGTCTTTCTTCAATCTCTTTCACATTTAAATAATCCACATTTAATTCTATAATACATTTTCTAAATATGATTGGGAAATCAGTATTCTGGTAGTTCCACAGAACAAAATAATAAGAAGAAAGTTTGGTGCCATGACCAAGATTTGTTATTGTGGAGTTTCACGTGTTTGTTAGTGAGTGTATTTTATTGTGAGCTTCTAAACTCATAGGTAGTTTAACATTAAAAATCTTGATAGGACAGGAAATGGAATTTTCTAAGAGACAAAAATCTTATAACCAAGAGAAATAATTAATTACCAAGGATGGATAGCTGCCTGAAAAAGTGGTCATGTCTCAGAATGATATTTTCCCAGATGTTGGACTTTTGCTATTGGTGTGAAGGCCCATTATCATAATCTTGTTGTTGCTGCAGATCCAGAAAGGAGAAGTACCATGGCCTGAGACCTCCAGAACTGCTGAGTTATAACTCTCACGTTGTCGCATAGGAAGCATGATAGAGTAAAGGTTATAATGGTGGAACGTGAGCTATTGAAGATGAGGCTGAATGACGAACCTCAACTCTGGTCAGTTCTACCCTATACCAGAGTATTAAAGGTGATTAGCAATGCTGCCAATGCAAACATGGGTCATAGAGAGAGATCTAGGATTGGGTAGACCTCCTAGGTAAGCTGCTCTTGGCAACTTGTTAATTTGCCACCCCAGTGAAGAGTTATAATGTTCATACAAATGTAGGGGTCCACGAACACAATACTCCCGATGCTTAAGACATTCTTAGCTTGGTGTTGTCCGAGACTCTTTGAGAGATAGGCTGTTGCCATCACAACAGGTTTCTTTGAGTGAATCAAGGCAGATTTCTTCCCCGAAATTAAAGGGCCAGAGAAACACTGGACCACTTCCTTAAACACTTCAAGAGGTGTTAGAGAAGGAAACACCAGTGGAGAAGCAGTATCACACCTCTAATAACTGGTTGTCATGTCACCCACAATCTTCTGATCTTGGCTGAGTTACCAGTAGTTAAGACTATCATTTTATTGTAACATCAATTACTGAGCCACCAAACAGTGTTTCATGATAAGATATATACCCCACATCATATGATAACCACTTGATTTTTAAGTTGTGTCATTGTTAAAGCGTAATGTCTAGGTGTGGTGTTACGTAAGTATTTCACGGTGGAGGGGAAAACTCAATCCAGTTTCACAAACAATAAGCTTTTTTTTTTGCTTTTAAACATGTTTCATTGAATTGTAATGTTTAAAGTAACGAATAAATGAGAATGGCCTGAAGGTGAAGGAGGGAGGAATTATTTGATGTTTTCTGTCTCCTTTAGTTTTGTCAGATAAACGTTTGATTTTCACTTAGAGTATTCTTTCACTAACACGATTCCAGTCATATTTATAGTTTTATAAATAGAATGATAGTCATGGAGTGTGACCAATTTATTTTGGTCTAGTTACCTATTGTTTTGAATCACTCCCAGTTTGTTCCATATGTACTTTCTCGTGAGAAAGATTGTGACAACACACCATATAAAGGTAGAAGTCGATGTTGTCCAGGTTAGGTGGTACTTGAGGTTATGTCATCCTTATTTCATTGGAATGACCAATAGTGGTGTGGGTAGCGCGTGAGCACTAAAAAAAGATGGCACTATAAAGCCAATTTTTCAGTTTGAGGGTTGCCTTAAGTGTTCGGATACTTTGATTGATTTGCTTTATAAATAGAAATAAATTTCCACTTTATTTGCATTATGTGGAGTGTCTTTCTTACTTAATAATCAGCCCGAGTCAGAAAATTTTTATTGAATTTCGTAATACCTCAAGTTCTTTGTGGTTACTACTGGATCTACTAAGGTGTTGGTATATTTAGAAATACCTTAGCTCGATACATCACAGCTCTAGAGTAAGGACTTCTGCTTAGTTGTTGATACCAATGACCAGCTTATCAGATAAGGCAGTGTTTCAAAGCAAAGTGGAGCTCCTGTTCATTCAAACACACTCACAAAATATTGGATTCAAGTATCTTCTATGGATGTACTCATATTTCTTCGCCAGGAGTAAGGAGCAGCCCAATAGATCCATATTTCATATTTTGTCATTACGACGTGTGACTGTGTTTCTGCCTTAAATATTGAAAATTACAGATCCCCTAAATAATAATGGTAATCTAATACTCTTTGTTTGTATAATGAAATGCCATTCTTTCTGGAGTAGGTGTCTATTTACTTATTGGTAGGATGTTTACGTAAGAGAGATCTTAATCTAGGAAAGTATAGCCCACTCCAGGTCACCAAACTAAGTTTTAATGACTTCGATAAAATCGATCAGCAAAGGTGAAATTAGAAGAAAACAAAACCATAAGATATTGAATGAAAAATATAAATTTCCGAAATTAATGTTAAAATGTTAAAAAATATATACATTACTCAATGAAATGAATTCATTTATAAAACGTGCAGATAAAAACTTTTCAGTTTCTTAAGCTATAAATTTTGAATATGAGTTTTTATTTAAAAAAAATCATTAAATATTCGGCTTTAACATGTTAATATGAGTTATGTATATATGATGTGTATGTGTATGTATGAACACACAGTATTTAAAATTCATTCTTGAAGAAGACATGTCTATCTTCCGAAAGAAAGTTGGCCTTAACAGGTTGATACGTGCTATTTATGACGTGTAAGTATGAATACACAATATCCAAAATTCACCCTTGAAGGAGATATGTATATTTTCCTAAAGCGCTTGGGTGATCGGGTTTACTTCGTGTTTCATCTAACATTACTAAGAAACGTATAATGATTTTCGAAGGCGAACATAACAAAATCGATGAAGCATACTCTAGTTTGTAGAGACTTGTGAGCTTCTACAGTCTCCTTCCTTGAAAATTGTCCAAACAGCTAGTTTTAAATTTTTGTGACTTTTTTTAAGCATTGCTAATTCCGGAGTTGGCATGAAGAGAATCTGGACTTTTATATATATAAAGAACCATTTAAACTCGAAATGTGTAGCGAAGCTTTTTTCTCTGTTGTAAGATGTTGGCACTTTATATCGCAATAAAGAATTCCTGAATTTCAAATGACAGACTTGACGGCTATTCAAGTTCACTTTGAACTTTTTACTGACGGACATCCATTACATCTGTATCCTGCGTCAGTTGTCTTATAGAAGAAAAATAGACTAGTTATTGCATTTTCTTTTTTTATTTTGGCATCGAAAAAGGGCTTTCAACTGCGCACTGTGTGAGCTTGCTATGTGTTTGCGCCGCCTAGTGGCAAACTTATTCGTTATAACACCACGTTATAATACTAAAGAACTTGACATTCAGTTCACAACTTCAGACGCACGCGTTAGCAGACAGCGTTGTCTTCCGCACGTGACCACTAAAATTCTACCTGAGAGTATGCTAACTGCGACCATGCTACTAGTTCTACTGATAGCCGGTAGTGTAGGGTCTGGTCTTAGCGAACAGAATGCCATCAAACATTTCGACGTACAGAATATAGATCAAGCAGAACTAGATGCTTTGCTGAAGTTTGCTGTCAGAGAAATTGAAAAATTGAAGCTGGATCATCACGAACTAGACGAGTGCCATGGTCTAGAAGTAGCCAGTATCTTAAGAGGAAGAAAACAAGTAAGTTCTTAAAAAAATAAGGAGAAATCGGAGAGCTTGTCCTGTATCTTATCGACGTTTGACCTTTGAAAATTATAACTCGTATTTTCCTCACCTGGTTATCCTTTTATCCAGTACTCCATCATTTTAATTAAGGTCAAACACAAACTATTTTGAAATTAATATTTTAGTAAATATTGAAACCAGGTTCTGTCGATTTTACTGTCTTTTACTGGAATGATTCATTTGTATTCCCGGAGTCCACTGATATCAAGTATTATACATATGGATTTAAAATATAGCTTTATTATCCCTTCATTTTGGTGTTCAAATCATACATAATACTGAGCACATCACAAAAGGGTGTTCAAATCGTACATAATTTCCAGCCCATAACAAAAGGGTGTTAAAATCATACATAATATTCAGCACATCACAAAAAGGTGTTCAAATCATACATAATATCGAGCACATTACAAAAGGGTGTTTAAATCATACATAATATTTAGCCCATCACAAAAAGGTGGTCAAATCGTACATAATTTCCAGCCCATAACAAAAGGGTGTTAAAATCATACATAATATTCAGCACATCACAAAAGGGTGTTCAAATCATACATAATATCGAGCACATCACAAAAGGGTGTTTAAATCATACATAATATTTAGCCCATCACAAACGGGTGGTCAAATCGTACATAATATCTAGCACATCACAAAAGGGTGTTTAAATCATACATAATATTTAGCCCATCACAAAAGGGGTGGTCAAATCGTACATAATATCTAGCACATCACAAAAGGGTGTTTAAATCATACATAATATTTAGCCCATCACAAAAGGGTGGTCAAATCGTACATAATATCTAGCACATCACAAAAGGATTTTCAAATCATACATAATATCGAGCACATCACAAAAGAGTGTTTAAATCATACATAATGTCGAGCACATCACAAAAAGTCGTAATCAATTAAAATATTCTATTGAGAAATGGAACAATTTTGATTTTTCTTTAATTTCGCGCCAAGCTACACGAGGGCCATCTGCGTTAGCCGTCCTTAATGTGGCAGTGAAAGACACCTAGTCATCACCACCCACCGCCAACTCTTAGGCTACTCTTTTACCAACGAATAGTTGGATTGACCGTAACAGTATGATTGAAAGGGCGAGTATGTTTGATATGACGGGGATTCAAACCCGCAACCAGCAGATTGCGAGTCGAGAGCCCCTAACCATCTAGTCACAACAGGCCAAGATGGAAAAAGTTTTTGTTTTTCACCACTCATTATTTTTAAAAACCCGCCCCAGCTTGATGGCGGAATCTATAAGTAGTGTTTTTTAATTTCTTTAATATAGGAGAATTGTACTTCTAAACAATTAACTTTCATTGTAATTGCAAAAAAAAATCAAAAAAATCGTAAGACCTAAAAAAAAAAACAGTCGTAAGACCTAAAACAACAACAACAGAAAAAGACCGAACCCCGGAAAATGTTTGAAGTATTATTCCTTTTCCCTCATGATGAAAGACAGATGTCAGTAAAAATCGCCAAGGGAAGACAGATGTCAGTAAAAATCGCCAAGGGAAGACAGATGTCAGTAAAAATCGCCGAGGGAAGACAGATGTCAGTTTAAATAGCTGAAGGAAGACAGGTGTAAGTTTAAGTCGGTTTAAAACTGGACATCAAACCTAAATTCCTCCAATATCTTTTAAAACACAGGTATTAGATCTGGAGTATATTTAATATAAAATTAACCATAACGATTACGAACTCATTATTAGTCTTAAAACAACACATAATTACTTATACAATTGGACGTTTATTATCTAGTTATAACTGAGGATCTTGATCTAATATTATTTGTTATTATTTTGTGAGGGAAAACGTTTTAGGCAATAGTCTTCCTTATCATTAATAGATCCTAGAAGAAGAAGAAAGAAAACATCTTTCCTAAAATGTCAAATACCATTTATAAATGGTTAAAAGATAATGTTGTATAGTATAGCGTGTGCGTTAATAAGTTTGATAATCTATCTTTCAAGTTTGAAATAATGTAGGAGCAGAACAGAGTGGGCTTTGTTTGTTTTGTGTTTAAGCGCAAAACTACATATTAATGTAGCTGCGCTATGCCACCGCTAGTATCGAACCTCTCGTTTTAGCGTTATAAGTTCTCAAAATTATCATTGAACCACCAGGGGGCAGAGTGTGATGCAAATGAATATAGATAAATCTGAGGAGTTGTGGAATACGTTCGTCAACTAACTTTGATATTTAATTTTCAATAGAAGAAAAAGTAAGAATTAGGGATCTATTGAGTGCCTCTCTAAGTTCTTGTAACAGAGTTGGCGCAGGTTGGTGGCAGCACTATATAAATTTCTCCTGCTGGCGGTAAACTTGAGAACGTATTATGCCATCTTGTCACCTTGCTTCGCTATGAAGAATTCAGAGGCACTCTTGTGTTGCACAGGGGTTTTAAACAAGGAAATCACCCAGCTATGTTTCTGTAAAAAACAAAAAAAAATCATAGAACATGGGGACACAACCTAAACTTAAATGGAATTTTGAAATGAAAAGATGAAAGTAAACTCCCCAGTTTACACAATACCGTTGCAGGAAATAACAATGCTTGTTTTTGGTCTAATATACAGCGAAAAGTAATCTCTCAATGGAAAATTGAGAAAACTGAAAGCCGACTTTTCTCTTTATTTTAAGACAGTTTTAGTCATTGGGTTATCTGTGCTTTGTCTATCACGGGGCCCGGCATGGCCAGGTGGTTAGGGCTCTCCACTCGCAATCCGCGGGTCGCGGGTTCGAATCCCTGTCCCACCAAACATGCTCACCCTTTCAATCGTGGGGACGTTATATGTGACGCTCAATCCCACTATTCGTTAGTAAAAGAGTAGCCCAAGAGTTGGCGGTGGGTGGTGATTACTAGCGGCCTTCCCTCTAGTCTTACACTGCTAAATTAGGGACGGCTAGCGCAGATAGCCCAAGTGTAGCTTTGCGCGAAATTCAAACACAAACAAAACCGTTAAAATTTGTATCACGGGTATCGAAACCCGGTTTCTAGCGTTGTAAGTCCGCAGATATACCGCTGTGCCATTGTGAAAAGACTATCATAAGATTTAATTATGCATTTATGTATTTATAATATATAATTTATGCCTAGTTGCAACGATACTGATATTATACGCAATAAAAGTTCCCACGTGTCTTGCTGATAGAAATTTTTCATTGAAAGATCGAGGGAAAGACATTACTGGCCTTAGTCCTTTTTTTACCTGTACTACTTTAAAAGGTGAACAGTCGTAAACAAAGAAATTGTAAAAAAAACTGTTCTTTTTAAAAATCGTTTTGTTATTATATACCTATAAAACACAGAAGAGAAAGAAACATAACTGCAATTAAATACTTAAACAGAAAATTGCCGTGAGTCTGCTAAACAGTAACTTAGAAAACAGTTACACAGCTTACAAACTTATTTAAGATAAATATTAGTGTAGTTCTTGAAGTGAATTGAGATAAATCCAGTTCATCTCTTTTCTTTTTTTGTTAGCTTTCAAAACGCTTTAGAATTTTTATCTAGACAATGAGTGTTCTAAGCTGTGCTGACTCTCGCTGGTTTCGACATTTACCATAAAATGACTATAAAATGAGCTATATATCAAAAAGCATTTGATCAAAAATATTCTAGTGTTTACAGATTTAAAATATTGAGTTACGAGTATACAAATAGTTTAAGTACTTTATTAAAAATAAATGGGACAATTGTCTTTCAAGAGTTAATATACAAGGATTTAAGTCATAATGACACTCAAAATCATGACGTGTGGAAAGTTAAAAGAACATAAGCGTGAGCACCCAGATCCTGAAAAATAAAATATGAAAGCAATATTCAAGTATCAATGTTTGCAGTTGGAATGAAATCAAGAAAGGAAAGAATAAAGGTGCTTATATTATTTTCTTAATGTTTCAACTTATTAAAATATTTTTTTCAAAGATAACATTCCAAACATATTGCCAACACTTTTGCAAGATCTCCCCGCATATTGTTCTCCTCCTTTCCTTATTTTAGAGTCGTTTATAACGCTTTATGTCTAAATAAGTTGGTGTTTAGCCGCATCTGTTACAATCTCCTTCCTCAGATCTACCAAGCTAAAGTTGCACCGTTCAAAATTCCAGGACATTTGTCATGAAATAGTTTTCTTAGGATCAACACTATTTAGATACTTAAAATAAAATGTACCTCTTTCACATTCTGATAAGGGTGAACATTTTTGGAATCTTAAACGTCTAATATTCTAACTCCCCTGTAAGTTTGCACTTATAATTAAATGAATTATTCTTGTAGTGTTCATTTTATGAGTTGTTTCTTTCTTACCTGAAAATAAATACTTATTTTTTGGGAACACTTTTTCACAATAGGCATTTTTCGACTATTAATAATATCAAAATATAACATAGATCCATTATGTAAAATTCATTGGCTAGCAATATGATTTTGAATAGACCCGTTATGTAAAACTCACTGACTAGCAATATGACTTTGAATATTAACGAATTTTATCCAGATGTTTTTATCCTTGTTGTTACCACATCAGATTATACACAGGAATGTTTATTATTCCTTCAATTGCTTCGCAGTTAGATACAGATTATTTAAACTCGCGTAATACAAATCTTCTGAAAGCCAATTAAAAACGACAGGAAGTGACATCATTCTAACAGGAAATGACGTTGAGGTATTATGTCAATAAATAACAATAACAGTTTCGGCATGATTTCATAACGGTTTATGTGTGTGTGTATATATATAACTAACTGATAGTTGAGCACATCTGTTAAATTGATTATTTGAAGCCATAAAAAACATTCATGTTTACTAACACTATTCCTAGCGAGAAGGTCTGTTGTTTTATTTACAACGTGACAAGTTTTGTTATCACATAGCTTCAATCATGCTTGATAACTTCAAGGGATGAACATGATTTAATTTTCTCTCAAGTTGCTAAGCAGCA